AGGATGAGAGAGGATGTGGAGACACACACTCACAACTGTGGGACCGGCAAGGTGCAGAAAGGCTGTCCGCAGCTGCAGAAGCACAATGAACCCAAGGGGGCACACGGCTTATTGATTACATCCCAGCATTCAACTGTCGCCAGCTAGCCATAAATATGGAGCAAGGGCAAGCTCGTCTGCACCCAGGGCATCTTCATTAACAAAATCAGGACAGAGCTGCCTTCTCCCTCATCCATCAGGCTGAGGCACTTCTTATTTCTCAGGTTAGATGGCTTCTCAGCTCAGGGATGTCAGTGCAATGGAGATTGCAATAAGGGTTGGTGGGAACAAGCCCTGTTCCTCTAAAAACAAAGCCCACTGTCTCTGCTCACCCCGTGGCCAAGGTCATCAGCTGAATCCTGAAAACCCACCTGCTCCTACTGGGAGGCAGGGTTTTATGGCAGAGGAGCTACAGTTTATGGCACCATGGAGAAATATGCTGGATGCGTTTGGCAACAGCAAATGGAAAGTTAGTCTATTAAACAGTAAATTATCCCTGCAATGCATCTTCATTGAGGAGGGTTAATGAGTGGCTCCAGGCAGAGCAAGGGGGGGGAAAAAAACGTGTGTATGCACAGCGTGGATGTGGAGCGATTGCTACATCTGGGGACCCCTGAATCCCCGATCCCACGCTGCACCAACAATAGCGTTTCCATGTGCGAGGCGCTTCACAAACACCTCCTCGCGTGTGGCTTATTCAAACCAGCTTGTGCCGCGCCACAGAGCTCCCAGGCGGTTGGTGTGTCCAGCTGCACTGGGAACAACATCCCATCTGTGTCTGGGCTGCTCGGCGCAAATGTTTTCCTTGCGGACTAAAGCTGGTTTGGGGAACCCAGGGTGTGGCGCTCGGCCCCTCTGCTCAGCTGCACCACGAGCAGCAGGGACGCGGTGCCTTGCGAACTGTCCCCTCCATGCTGTGTTCTGCAATTGCTCAAGGCAGCGGGACAGGCTGGGCTCCCCCCACTCGCGCAGTCCCTGTTGTGCAAGGCTGGAGCCAAATTTGCCTGGCTGAGAGCCTCAGCGTCTCCCCTATCATCCTAGAGGACCCACTGGATGCTGTTCCCTTCGCCCAGTCCCAGTGTCAAGGTTCCCAGGCAGCGGAGCTGCCCCCTGCTCCTGCAGCCAGCGGGGCCACGTTTGCAGAGCAACGCTGGCTGAGTTTGCAGGGTGGCGCTGGCACAGGATGGTGCTGGTGGTGTCTGCAGGTTAACACCGCCAGTGTTTGCAGGGCAGTGCTGGCCACGTTTGCACGGTGATGCTTTTGCCGTTTGCCAGCGAGGTAGGGCTTGTCCCTGGAGAGATGCCAGAAAGAGCACATCCCAGCCCTGCCTGCCGCTGCTGCTAACCAGGAGAGATTTACTGTGATCCCAGCGGCCCCCAGCCGCCCACACCACTCCATAATAGACCCATCAAGGGCATTGTCGTGCTGCGCAAGCCCAACAGGTGCCCTAACGGGGCCGACACGCCGGCCTGCTCCCACACAATGCCTCACCCTCCGAAGCCAAGCGTGTCCGGCGGGACAAAGGCAGCCTGGCCTCCCAGCACGAGCCGAGCTGGCCAGGCGTGACAGATGTGGCCCCAGCCGGCGGAGGGGCAGCCCAGCAGCCTGCCCTGTGCGGGGTCTCTGGGGGATGCTGGGCAGACGGAGGTCACAGCCACTCTGCTCCCGACATGTCTCCAGCTAGGTCTTGCAGCCACTGCTCCTAAACCAGGTATGTTTTAGTGATGTTGCTGGTGGGAGGAAGGGTTTGAAGCACAGCCCCGATGCAAGGGAAGCGGGATCCTGCCATTGGCAATGCTCCTCAGCAGGGAAGTTGGAGCAGGCATTGTGCAGGCAGGCTATTGCCTGTGTTTTAAACACTTCTGCTCCGCACCAGTGCCTGGTCCTACCCTGCGAAGGGCTGAGCACCGCTGTGGACTAGTGACGGGGCTTTAAAGCGCGGCGTACATGCTGTAGGAAGCATGGGCCAGGACACGCTACCTCCTCCCCTGTGCACCAAGGCACGGGGTGCAGCACGGCTGCCTCGAAGCCCAAGCATGCTGGAAGGCGATACTGGCCGCCGACGGCTCTGGCGGGGACCCAGCACCAGCCCAGACCACGGGAGAGGTAACGGGGGACGGGCTGCGGCCCGTCCCGGGGTGGGTGGAAATGCCCGGATGCTGCCCTGGGCGGCTTGGCTTAAAACTGGCAGCAATTTTTGTTTGAAGCTTTGTAGCTGCTTCGCATCTCTTTGCACGACAGGTCTGGCGCATACCCTGGAATCCTTCCCCGGATCTTCCCATGAAAACTCCTCTCCTGCAAAAAAAGCTTCTGCTTCATTTTAACCAAACCCAGAGCCCATCAGACGATCCAGATGGTCTCTCTCTCTATCAAGCAGTTTGGCCCAAATCCCGGTGGCAGACGGCAGGACCAGGCCTCCCCTGATAAAGAAAAGTTTGGTTTTTATTTTTCTCCCTGTTTCTCGTTGGTAATCAGAGGCACCCTGGGCCTTTCCTGGGCAGCTGTTTCTCTCCAAGTCCCACGCCACCCCATACAGGGTGTCTGGGTGATTTGGGATTGCCCAAGTGCACCAGAGGTGTGGGAGTGGGATCTTGATGACTAGGCTGTTCCGCCCAGCCCTGCTGTCCTGCCTCACTGGGCTCGCTCAGCCCTCGCCACATTAGCAGCCCTGGAAGGAGGTTGCTTTTGAGACCCGAGCGGCTGCAGAGGGGTCAGCCGTGGCCGGCAGCCCGGCTCCGTGGGATGCTCCGTGGTACTAGGGCACGGGGCTCTGGCTACGTGGCAGGTGATGGCAAGAAGCTCCCATAGGAGAGCAGGAGTCAACGTATCCACAGGAGAAAATCTGGATATTGGCCTGAAATGGGATTTTCATCCTCCTGGCCCTGTAATCCCATGGAACTGGGGCAGATGATGGTGGCCTCCAGGCAGGCCCCTTCCAGCTACTCCCTCTGCCGAGATTGTGGCTCTGCTGTAAATTGACCCAGTGTTGCTGCAGCTGGACACAGAGACGGGGGGAGCCTATTTATTCAGCAAATCATAAGGATTTGCCTGGGGCAAGTGACTGCAAAAAGGAGGAAACAAGATCCCTCATCCTGCTCCTGCCTTCCCACCAGTGTCAGAGGTAAAGGGCCGGTTAGGAAGACCCAGCTCTGCCCTGCCAGCCAAGGGGCGAGGGGGAGTTTGGGAGGGAGGGGGAATGCAAGCATCACACTGGCAGCGGCCGGCTCTGGGGAACACCGACCCACTAGGAAACAATCTTCACTTCCTGAAATTCAGCTGAGGTCTTTGGCACGCAGCCTCTTCGGGTGCCACTGCCACCAGGGTCCCCCTGGGAGCCCCAGGCCGGGCTGCGAGGCCACCCCTGCCGAAGCCGTGCCAGCGAGGGGTCGGCTCCCGGAGTCCTGGGAAGCAGCTCATCTTCCTCGCTGTCAGGGCTGCTGGGTAGCAACGAGGAACAAACCCCTTTCATCCATCACAGGCACAGCTTCCTCCCGGGATTGGGGCCAGAGGAAGGAGATGTCACAAAAATGCAGACAGATGATGGGAGCCTGCATTCGGGGTGGGAAAGGGCTGCTGATCTGGGCCAAGCTGGTGCAACCCTCTGTGTGTGCGAGGTGGCCCTTGCCGGAGTGGGACCCTGTGCAGACGCTTCCCTCTCACCCTGATTAAGGAGCCTGTGGAGCTCCACATGCAGGGGGCATTGATTTAAGAGATGCTCCTGCCCCTGGGACCTGCCACTGTCCCTGCAAATATCCTGCTGGCTGGGAAAATGAGTGTGCGGTGGGGTGTCTGTGCTCACACACCTCTCCTCCCGCTGCCAGAGCGATGCAACAGGCTCCCACCTCCCCTCCTTCCATGGGTTTCCTCTATGAGGAGGACATTTGCAGCGGTTGCTGCCGGCAGCCAGGGCTCTGTTGGGCATCTCAAAATGCCTGTTGTTTTTCTTAAGGGCTCATCTCTTGGAGCCATGGGGTTACAAGTGTTTCAGGTGTCATTAATAAAATGGGTGACCAGCTCTCCTACTTACACACTCCTGCTTTGCATTTGTAGACCTCAGGAAAGAAAATGGAAGGTAATAAAATGAGTGCAATGCTCACGTTTCTGAGATTTCAACCATTTGGGGCCAGATTTCTTGGCTTTGCTTCTTTTTTTGCGTTGAAATAGGTATGCTTTCCCTCTTTCTTCCTGGTGGATTGGCCACAAAAACGTTTTGGTTGTTTTATTTCTTAAGATGTTCCCCTGGAGAGGGAAAGGACATAGCTAATGCCACAGCCAGGACTGTGAGATTTGCTATCTGTGTGCAGGGCAAAGAGCAAAGCGGAGATGCATGCTCAAGTCCCCGCTGCGTGCCAGGGTGCTCAGCTGCAGGCTGCCCACGATCAGTCCGGGTACCATCCCGGTTGAGCAGCTCCTGCCCACTGCGTGGTCTCGGTGGGCTGCCGGGTCTCCGCACCTCGCCTGGACTCCGGGCGATGGGGACGGGGGCTCCGGGCTGCCAGCCAGGCCACGGGTGCCTGGAGCACACCGGGGGATGCGAAAGCTTTTGCCCCCGCCCCGAGGAGGGGTGGGAATGCTCCGCTTGCTGCCGCTCGGTTTGCAGGCTGCCGGACCCCGGGGGTGCCTCTGCCCGCAGGCTCCCCGCTCGCCTTGCTGCACCCCGGCATCCCGCAGCCATCTCACGGAAGAGCGTGTGGGGGGGTGGCGGTGGGATCTCCCGCCCCGCGGGTTGGGGGGGGGGGAACCGAGCCGGAGCCCACCTTGCTGCACGGACGGGGGCGGTGCAGAGCCCCGACGGCTCCGGTTACCGGGGTGCCCGTGCCCGGCCCGGCCGGGACCGCTCCTACCGCCGCTGCCGGGGGCGCGGGGAGGGGCGGCGGCGGTGGGGGCGAGGGGGGGCCCGTCGGGGCGGGCAGGGAGGGAGGGAGGAGCCAGCGCGGAGGCTGTGCCTGGGCTGCGGGATGGGGCGGCAGTGAGGGCGGGCGGGCGCGCACCGACGGGGCTCTCGCCCCGCAGCTGAGCCGTGCCGAGCCGTGTGCCGAGCCGTGCCCAGCCCCGCTCCCCGGTGATGCGCAGCGGCCCCCCCGCCTAACCCCGCTGCCCGCTGCCATGGCGGCCCCGACCCCCGGGGGGGCGGCGGGGGTCCCGGCGGGGCTGCGGGCCGTCGCCTGGCTGCTGGCGTGCGCCGCGCTGTGCCGGGGCCCCGCCGCCGCCTGCCCGCCGCTCTGCGCCTGCAGCGGCAGCACCGTGGACTGCCACGGCACGGCCCTGCGCGCCGTGCCCAAGAGCATCCCCCGCGGCACCGAGCGCCTGTGAGTACCGCCGGGCTTTGTCCGGCCCGGCGCGGGTGGGAGCGGCCGGCGCGGGTGGGTGTGCAACGGCCCGTGTCGGGGGTGCGGGCGTGTGCAAGAGCCCGGCAGGGGCTTGGGCCAAGTGCTTGTCCTGGGGGGGTGGGGGGGGGTGGGGGGGGTGCGAGGGACAGGCAAGTGCCCAGCGCGGGGGATGCACGTTTGAGAGCCTGACAGGAGTGGGTGCGGGAGCCCCGCGGGGGATGCGTGTGCAAGAGCCTGTCCGGGGTGGGGGTGGTGGTTTGTGCAGCAGCCTGTCTGGGGCGGAGTGTGTGTGCGAGCACTCGTGCAAGGGCGATGCGTTTGTCTGTTAAGGGGAGTACTTGTGCAAATGCCCGTGGGAGCATGTGCCAAAGCCGGGGCAAAAGGTGCGTGTGCAAGAACACGGTGGGGTGGGTGCCTGTGCAGCGTCCCGCTCAGCAGGGGGGTTGGGAGTGCGTAAAAGTGCCTGTCCGTGCAAGAGCCTATTGGGTGAGTGTATGGGCATCATCCCCTCCAGGAGAGGGGTGCAACAGCCCGTCGAGGTGGGGAGCAGTGTTCGTGCAAGAGCCTGCTGGGGCTGGGTGCTTGTGAAACCTTTCATCTGCAGGAACGGTGTGCAAGGGGTTGGGCATGTGCAAGAGCCCGTGTGTGTAAAAGCATGCAGAGCAGGGTTGGGATTAGAGCTGTGCCCCAGGGGGTGGGTTGCTCCAGGGGGAACATTTGCACAGGGGCAGCCTGGAGCAGGCTGCATGTGTGGGGCTGCTCGCACCATGGCACTTACAGCCAGGTGTGTGGCCACCCCTGCTGTAACTTGTCATGGGGCACCTACACAAGCAGAGGGGTTTCCTGATGGTCCCTGCCACCCCAAGCCCCTACCCATGCAGGGCACCCCATTGTCCCTGGGAAGCCCTCCTGGGAGTGCTGCACATGGTGCTAGGATCAGGCCCCATTCCCCCACGATCCCCTTGGCACCCCCCTGGTGTGACCAGCCTCCAGCCACACGCACGGCTCATCCAGCCCTGACAGTCCCCTGTGGCTGCACCTCCCTGCTCAGCAAAGCTGCTGCCACATCTCCACAGGATGCTGGGGGCTGTCCCTGGGTCTCTTGGCTGGACCCCTTGGTAACGAAAGCTTTTCTCTCACAGTCACGGTCCAGATGGCTGCAGGGGTCCTGCAGCGCCCGCTGAGCTCCCCAGAGCAGGGTGCCCATTTGCTGCTGTGCCCGCCTGGGCAGGTCTCCCTGCCTGGGGGCCCTGTGGCTGCAGCGGGTCTCCACTCTGGGGAGAGGGACATGAGCTGAATGTGTCCAACCCGCTTCTGGCAGCAGGTTCCTGGCATTCAGGTGTCCCCAAGTCCCAGCAGGAGAGCAGGGCTGTCCCCAGCCTCTCCCCACTCCTTGAGGGCAGTGGGTGCCCCATCCCAGGGGCTGCGGTGGAGCCTGGTGGCACAGTAGCCCCCCCCAAGCCCTAGCCGTGGGGCCAGGCTGCCCCGGTGTCCCCCCTTGCAGAGCAGGGAAGCAGTGGTTTGCCCCTGCCTTGAGCAGCAGAGCTGCAGGATGCGTCCCAGGACAGCCACACACGCGGGGCTCCTCCTGTCCCTGCCTCTGGTTACTGGAGTGTGAAAGTGCCCTTTGCCTGCGGCTGGGGACAGACCCCGCAGGCAGGTACTGCAGGCAGCCCGGCAGCCACCAAGGCTGCAGCCAGCATGCAGCGCCGGGAGCTCTGCGGGACACTGCTTTAGTGGAGTTTTCTCCTGCCGTAATTACCCTCATACAAATGATCATTACCCAGCACAGCAACCAGGCTGCTGCAACCTGCAGTCCCTCAGAGCCAGTTTGTGAGCTCCGAGACAGGATCCCCCTTTGTACCCAGGGCAAGGGGGAGGTTTGCGCATAGCCTGCACCAGCCCTTTCTGCTCCTCGGGGAGCTCTGTGGGCTCGGCAGCGTCAGCGATCCATGCACCCAGGTGCTCAGCACCACCCAGAGGAGACGGTGCTGGAGTGGGCTGGCAGAGGATGCCCTTGGGTGGGTGTCTCGCTCCTGCCCTGCAGGGCATCTCTGCCCCTCCGGCAGCGGGTCCTGCTTGCTGTCTGCTGTTCTGCCTCCACTGATCCGCTCCTCCATGTCCGTGGCGGATTGGTGACATTAGGTTTTCGGTATATTCATGCAGCTGCCGATGCCGGATCTGCTGGTTGCGTTGAGCTAGACGTGCTGCTCTCTCGTGGGTGTTGTCTGCTGGTTAACTACTTCCCGCTGTGTTGCACGCCCTTGCAGGTGCTTGAGGGTGTCTGTGCAGAGCAGGTCTATCTCTGAGCAGTGAATTCCTGCTGTAACAGCTCGCAAGCGAGTTCAAGTTCCCTGTAAAGAGGCTTCAACCTCACAGTCTCCAGCTTCTTGCCACTTGATGGAGCGGGGTCAGCTAGCAAGTCTAGGGGACCCTGCAGCAGGGTCTGTGCTCGGGACTTCAGTCTCCAGGGGCTGGCTTTCTTTGGGAAGCGAGCAACCCCCTCCTGGTGCCCTTTGCTGCCTGCCTCTTCCCAAGCCCCAGAGTGCACAGCACGAGCGATGCCAACCTCGCCATGCATCCCACAGTGCTGGTGAGCAGCGGTGTCCCTGCTGCTGTGCTGCCCACCTGTTGCGTGCCCGCAGCCTTGCGGGGCAGCCAGCACGGTGTTGGGAGGCTCCAGGCTTTCTCCAGCCTCCCACCTGCCTGAGCCCCATGGTGGCTTGGGTCGAACCCCTGGACAGGGCAGTGCTGCTGCTGCTGTGGGCCATGCATGCTGGCACTGCCAGAGTCATCATGGGGACTCAGCAAGCATCCTGTGGCGAGGTCTAAGCTCCATCACTTCTGAAATACACCCTTTTCCTTTGAAGAAGAGGGAAATATTTGCCTTGCAGAGTCACTGCAACTTTGGAGAATCATGGGCTGGGGAGAAACTGTCTTGTCTTCTGCTTGAAGGTTTCCCCTGTGATGTCTCCCTCGTGCCCTGCTGTTGGTGCAGGGTAAGGTCTGGAGATGTGTTTAGGATGGAGCATGGGTGGTAGCTTCATGCAGGGACGTGGGACCCCTCTTTCCTTGCACCAGGGCACAGCACGTTGTTCCCTAAGTGACTTCTACTCTGCAACCCATCGTAAATGCTGAGCGATGCACCCTCACCTCTGCCTGGATCAGGCACTGAGCAGAGAGGCTTATGCTGGAGCAAGGTGGGAAGTAGCAAAATCTCTGGACGCTTTGCACGCTGCCTGTGCTCCAGCCTATGCCTCTGGCAAGCATGATAGAGCAGCCCCTGGAGGTATCATAGGCAGGATGGGGTGATAATCCTCCAGCACTACCGTGTTATCTGTTCCCAGGAGTCCTTCGGGTCTCAGCCGCTGGGGGAAAGCCGTGGGAGAAGAGAACAGTTCCCTTCCCTGTTTGCTTGCTTTTCTTTCTTGCTTTCTTTGAAAGCATCTCTGAGGAGCAGACTGCCCCGCAGGGAGCTGGGTCACTCCTCCCATGCCAGCAGGATCAGGATCAGTGTGAGTTTGCCACTGTCAGATGGCTGCTTCTAGCCCAGCTCTTTGCTCGTGGGGAATAGAGCCTCATGGTGCTGCATTCACTCCTGCTTTTGAAGTTTTCAGCTGACAGCTGAGAATTGCCCCCCTCACCCTTTTTGCCTACTCCCCAGTGGGCTGAACAGCCCCCATCTCACTGTCGGCTGTGCAGTGCCCCTCTGCCCCTGTGCAGAGGGCCAGCAGAGCTAGGTTTGGGGGTCTCCATCATTGCATCCCTCTTGGCCCCCTCTTCTCTCTTCCAGAGTCCCTGGCCTCAGCACTGCATGGGGTTCCCATTTGCCTTGTTCCCTTGACTTGGGGTTTGCCTGTTCTGAAATGGGCCCCATCCAGACTGCAGGCAGCTCTGCTGTCTTCCCTGTCTGCGTTGATGGAGGGAAGGGGTGCTGAGCTTCAGTCTTTGGGTACAAGAGCGTGATGACGTGGTGGCCGCACCTGAAGCACGCACACGCGCTGCCTGACTGTCCCCTGCCGAAATTACAGCAGCGAGCTCTTGTTCAGAGTGTGTTTCATTCATGCATCCGTGTCTTCCTCTAGCCGGTTAATCAAAATGTCTCGCAGCGGCAAGGCTGGTGTATCGCAGCAGCGCTCGTGCATTTGACACCAGTTGTTGGGCTGTGTCTCCTCGAAGGGCTTCGGGGGAATGTTAATTCTTAGGAAGCACCTTGAGGGGATCAACTTCTCCGTTTCCTGGGGTACCTGGGCAAGTTTTTGGTGTTGCAGAGGCCGCGAGGCAGTGTGCAGGCTCTGCGGAGCTCTGGGGCGGGATGCAGGACCAATATCTAGCCAGGGCAGTGCTCGGCCAGCCCCGCTGCCCTTGGCTCTCGGGAGAGCCAGTGCTGGGCGCTGGAGGATGCAGGCTGGCTGGGGAAGGCAGCCTGCTCAGCCCGCTGCAGTGGCTTCCTTGGGAGCCTTCCCGGACAGAGGAAATTTGCAATTCTATTCCAATTTCTCCCTTCAGCTACGTCCAAGGCAGATGCTGTCTATATATCGCCATGGTAACGCTGCGTTCTCACTCTCCATGGAATTGCATGCTGGAAAAATATTAGTTTAAAAAACTATGTCGTGTTTGTATTGACTGGAGCTGAGGCTGATAGCAGAGGATCTATTGTCCCCTGTTTGGGAAAAGTCACTGGTAACAGGCAATAAAGCCAGGCGGATTGGCCTCTGGTGACCACTTCTCACCCTGCACAGCAATTGCTTCCCTATAAACCCTTCCCTGGCTCTGTTTTATTGCATCCTTTAAAATAGATATTTTTTGCCTTAAATGTGCTGCCACTTTGCTCCTCTGGGGTGATGCATTGTGCCGCTGGCAGTTTCTCATCACTGAGGTGGGAGCGAAGAGGAGGAATTGTTCCTGGCTTTAATTGTGGGTCTCTTGTGTGCACCTTCAAACGCTGTCGCTGCTGCTGCTGCTGTCCCCAGAGCCTG